GATATATCATGGTGTTGTAGAATGAAATACATGCACGTTTTTTCTGCCAATAAAATACACGCACTTAATTTTTGATTGTCAATAAGTCAAGTTAAAATTTTATATTAAAAGAATGAAAACGAGGAGATGAGTCAGATGACCAATGAGGCAATTGGAAAGCAAGAAACAATGACCGATCAAACTCGGTGGCCCAAAAAAGATAATGAGACAAATCGAACTCATGAGAGGTTCGACTTTGGAGTAAAACTTTTTTACCATATATTTATAATTTCTTTTAACAAAAATAGATTTAGTCTCTCATTAATCATTTCTAATTTTCTCTCTAATGCACCCCCATTTTTCACTTTGTTTAGGTACTTCTTTTTAGCTGTTAGAGGTCGGTTTATAAGCATCTAAATGGTGATTTCTCTCCAATTTAATTAAAAGCAAATGGCACTTATACATACATTTTTTTATTTAACATATTTCATAAGATAAACATATACACACACCTTCACGTCACACACCTTACCATACACTCACAGTTTTCGTTGTGCATACTAATGGTCTCCATTACATAGGTAGCTGCTAAACTTTTTCATCTTCTTCAACTCTAGAAACTGCTAGGTTTCTTAATCTTGCTACCATTTATGTAAGAAGCAAACATCAACCCAAAAAAGTGTCACAAATAATCAAAAAGACATTTCCAGCAACTTACAATAAATTTAAAAAAATAAAAATAAAAATAAAATCTGTCTGAAATTTATAAAAATTCATTATTATCTTCTTCCTCTTTTTTTTCTCTCTCTCCTCCATATGGGTTCTCCTAGAGAACGTGGGTTCTCCTTCTTCCTTTTTTTTTTTCTCTCTCTCTCTCTCTCCTCTGTCCCATGGATTCTCATGGTGCAAACCCAAATCTGGGTTCTCGTGGTGAGAACCCAAAACAAGTTCTCATGGTTCTCACCACGAGAACTGATGGGTTCTCTTGGAGAACCTAGATTTGGGTTCTCACTACGAGAACCCGTGAGGGGAAGAGAAGGAAAAAGAGGGGAGGAGAAGGAAAGAAGAAGAAAAAGAAAGGAGGAGAAGGGAACAGATCCACAGATGGAGAACTCAAAAGCAGAGAGGGCAAGAGGGCTGGGTTGGTAGTAACGGAGAGAGACGAATTAAATAACGGACAATAAATGGTGTAATGGAGTGTGTAACGAATAGGGTAAACCTATCACTGTCCTATTTCATAATATATTTATTAAAAATTATTATTATTAAATTCAAATTAACAGTAAAAAACTTAAAATTACAAATTTTAATAATTGAATCAATAAATATTAATGTATACTGAACTAAAAAATATATTAATTATTTTTCAAAAAAAAAACCATCTTCATTAAAAATAAATAGTTTATAAAAAATTATCTTTTTTATTACCTCACCACTTTGTTTGGTATAGAAAAGCTCTATAATTTCATCCACGGTGCTCTCATCATAAGCCTCAGCAGTGCTTCGCGCGCGCGGGCTGAAATTAAATAAGATTGATCAAAGAATCTATAAGCTGTAGACAAGAAACAGTATCATTCGTCTTTCCCACATCTAGACAAGAGAAAGAATCTAGAAGCTTATCGAACTAATTTATTTATGATGTTAATGTTTATCTATCTTACCTTAAAAAAATTTAAAAAAAAACATCTTAATTCATACTTTAAAAATAAATTAATTTAATCTTTTTTAATAAATATTTATTAAAATGACGTAATTTTAAAATAATATTTTTTTAAATCTTTAAAAGAT